TCTCATAAGTGACTTTCATTGGAATGTTTGTCTCATCTTCCCCTCTGGATTATAAACTCTTTAAAGATAGGGACTGTGTAAACTTTAATAGGTCCCTCAAACAAGAGTACATTGCTTCACAGTCTGTGAATAATCAGTTAATTCCTGCCAGGATTCTGCTTTGCAGAAATCCAATGTGATCAAAGCTACCAGCAACATGCTTCCCCCAAAACACTTATATAATTTCCCAGTGGACAGTGTGGCAGATTAAAAATAAGTGAATAAATAAAGAGGATCATGTGTAATCCACTGATATCCATGCTAATCACATTAATCAGAGTGAATTAATTATACCTGAAAACAGATGCAAAGTTAAATTCCTTAGAAAATCAATTCATTAAACTCATATTGGAATGCACAGTCGACAACCTTATGTTTAGAAACTATTAGTATGATTTGTGGCAACTTCTGATTTACTAAAGAAACTGCTTAAAACATTTTTAAAGGCAATTACAATTACCGTCTGGCATGTGATGGAAAGAAATCACTTCAGCATTGTCCCTTGTGTGTCAACTGTCACAATTTTCTAAAAATTTTGAGGCAAAAAATAGGCAGGCTTTACTATTTGCTAGCTTCGATTAGGGTTAATTCAATGTGTGTCTGCAAATAATAGTGTTTAATGTAATCTCTCTAATTACAGATAAAACGCATTTTCAGTCATGCTCATCACTGACAGTATTTTGGGATAAGTTAAACTGACAGCTGCTTTCTAAAGGAAAGAGAAAAAAAACACACAAATCTTCCTTGGGGTTGTGCTGATTATCACTCTCCTACCCCCCCCCCCCCATTTTTTTTGGCATTAAAGTTCAGAAAAATATGAAACTAGACACATTGGTTCTAGATAGATACCAATGTTGGAAATCATGACATAGTTTATCTCTTGGGAATTTGTTATGCTTTTCATCTCGTACCCCATCAGTAAGTATCTAACTTGAACTCACTCAACAAGCATTTCCTCAGGGCTTCAGGGAACCAGGCATTGTGCTAGGCACTAAGAAGATCAAGAAGGAATGATTCTACCCAAACAGTCCTCTATCATAAGCCTCATGTATCAAGTCCAGATTCCTACTATACTAGACATGATAGTCACAGTGCCACTATAATCATAGCCCCTGAAACTATTCAAGTTACAATATTTTCTTTTTCTTTATCCTCACCTGAGGACATTTTTTTATTTTTTGTTCAGGTAGAGTGGGAGGGAGAGAGGAACAGAGAGAGAGAGAGAGAGAGAGAAACATCGACGTGAAAGGGACACATCGAGTGGCTGCCACCCACACGACCAACCAGGGCCGGGGACAAACTGCAACCAAGGTATGCTCCCTCAGCGGGAACCGAACCAGGGTCTCTCGGGACCGCAGGCCGACGCTCCAACCACTGAACCAAACTGGCCAGTGTTCAAGTTACAATATTTTCTGAAGGGTCAATGCATGATCTTCCTCAACCACAACTGATTAGACCAGAGATGAACCAATGGCACCACATCCACTGATTGTTCAGGGACCTAATTTGGCCTGGCATGAAAAGATGGGCTAGACATATACATTTTCTCTCTCAGAAATAGGAATTGGGAAATACTGACTAAGGTGGTTAGTGGTCAAAGTGAAATTAGAAGGTGATAAGAGAAAAACCACAAGACAGAAAGAATTACGACCATGAGGGGGCAGCTGTGTCTGGTCTATCAGGCTGAGAAGCAGCAGAAACACAGGACCTAATTCAAAGTTGAACAAATCAAAGAATTAAAAAATGAACAAATAATTGTGACCTAAGATGTCTTTGGGTTTTTTGGTAGGCTCAAAACATGAATGATTCACACTGAATCACTATCTTTAATACTCCCAATGCTTTTTTTTTTTTTGCATCTTGTGTGTCTTTGTCAGGATTATAGTACAGCTTTGAATAATGGAAAAACTTAAAATAACAGTGGTTTAAACAAGGAGTTTCTTTCTATCTCATGAACAGTTTAGTATAAGCAACCCAGGACTGACAGAGTAGCTCTTCTCCGCAAAACTCAGAGACCTGGATTCCTTTCAATTTACTTCTCTACAATCCCTAGGAGGTAACCTTATCTCCATAATCTAAGGTAGCATTCCTGTTCCAGTAGAAGGTGGAGAGAGGGATGAACAAGAAGAGGTGAATGGCACCCGCTATTGCTTAAGACAGAGTTCTAGAACCTGGGAAAGTCTTATACATGGTTTTGGGGTAGAAATTAAGGAAAAGATTCAAGTTGTACTTCTAGAAATAGGGATGACACCTGAAAGAAGTACAGCAAGACAGTTTATTACTAAAGCTAAGCAAACTAAAGTGGCACCCTGAAGCCAGGGTAATATAAAAATTGGAAGAATTTGAAGCTATCTTGAGGAGATCTTTGGACCGTCCTATGTGTGGAATAGGGAGTTCACAACAACCCCTTCTAGATCCTAAAGAGCAGAGGCCTCAGCTAATGTGGATTACAATATAAATCAGACATATTCCAAGACACAAGCCATCCTAAAATATTACCTATCATGATACTACTCTTGATTCTTCTCCAAGATGAATCATCAACACACCCAAAAAATGTGTTTGCACTAATTCAATATATGATGTTTGGGGTAGAGTTGAATAAAAGTTGCATTTGCATTGCCTCCAGAGGGGGTGTCTAGCAATGTAGTTAGTAATGCTTCTGCAAAATCTGACTCATCTTTGAGAATTCTAACCTTGATTCTTATAAATTCTGGTTCACAAACAATTGATATCCCATCATCCTTTTATAGAAATAAACTCTTCATAGCCCTAAAGAATGCAACAAATTGTTAGCTCTATTTAAGTTATATACTGTTGAAAGAAAAACACTTTTTATACACTTTGTATCTCCTCAAAGCACCCAACAGTGCTTTGCCTGCAGGAAGTAGTCAATAAATGGTTATTAAATTTAGAATGTCCTTCTTCCCAATCAGTGAGGTTTAATATATTTCCAATTGGAATGCCTATTAATTTCTCAGTATTAGTAAACCTTTTAAAAAATCCATTTGGGGATGTGTTTAAAAGTTCACAGCAAATACTATTATATAAATGATTGAGAAAATGCTGTTAAATGAAACATGCTTATTCAACACACCAGTAGCCATTGATAAAATGTAATTTAATTTAATCATTTAAATTTACATTGTTAATGTACAAGAGCATTTCTTTCAAACCACAGGTTAACACATACTAAAGAGCAATGCTGTTTGAGGAGCAGAGAAACTATGGAAAACTCTGCCGTGTGAAATAAAAGCAAGGCACTCTCCATTAACAGCTGGTGGATTCCTGATTTCTGCCCACAGAAGGCATGTTCACACTGAGAGAGCTCTCCCACAAGGGAAGAATCACCTGCTTTAATTCTTGCTGTCCTCTTCTGAGCTAGTTTGGTCATCCACTCTATATAAACTGTGTGTCAACATCAAGACAAAAAAAAAGAGAGTTGAATTGATAGATGACTTGCGAGGCTCTCATAGTTGTAATAACTATGGAAGACAGAAGAACACTGGCTATAATCTTTATTTTCAGTACTAGTGTCTGGACCTATAATGAAAAACCTTCTTCATTCCTTCCAACCAATTGATATTAGGTTAAAAAAAAAAAGTCTTTAAATCTGATGGGTGTAAAAATAAAAAGTAACAGCATTTCTCTGGGGCTTTGTTTTTGTTTTGTTTTCTTTTCTTTTTCAGACATGACAAAAAAAACAAACAAACAACAACAACAACAAGGACTGACTTTCTAATACTAGTGGTGCACGAAAGGGTTATGTATGCACAGTACTTGTATTTTATTCAAATTCAACTCGAATTTGGTCTGAAGCTACCTTATATGAAATGTTAGCTTTCCTGATATTTAATAATATTTATTATGTTTGCATATAAGCTGAAAAAATTAATGCAAAAGTACTACTTTACTCATGATTATCATTAGGTAAAATGTAAGTATTACTGGTTATTTTTAAAAGCTGATTTTCCTATAGATGCAGAAAGTTGAGTAAAAAGATTATGGAAAGGAGAATTAGATCCTAGTCTTTACTGTGGTACTAGCTGTTTGAACTTGGATAACTCTTTACCCTTTGCTGGGCCCCAGTTTTCTCCTCTGAATTTTGGGGTTGGGGTGGACTAGCTGACAAGTCAGGTCCCTTCCAAGCCAACATTCCAGATCCTATAATCTTGATATAAAAATAATAATCTTTCATAAAAGCTCACAGAAACATAACATATGATCAAATATCAGAATGATTCTTGGGAAAAAAAACATATAGTTTGTGATCTGGGTTACTCTTTGCAGCAATTAGGCAATCATTTGGCATTTGTTTGATTGTATAATTTAATGACAATATAAACAGCATAGTTTTGTTATTTTTCCTTTTAAAAGACTAAAGCAAAAATGATTCAGAGCTAACAAAAACTATTGTGACATCAGTTTGACATTCTTAGCAAAGTTTGTTTCTTAGCAAAATGGCCAAACATATTTTGACTTGATACAGAATATATAATATAAAGACTTTTAGAACTAAAAATCTTCAAATATTATTCGAATTTAGCAAAACATAAGCAAAATTTTAATATCAAAGTGCTAAACAGTACTGCCTTAAAAGCCACTGCAAATGAACCATAAAATAACCTCATGGGAAGTAACATTTATTGTACAAATGGTTAATAAAAAGACACATTATAAATATATATGTAACCTGCTATATTTATATATATTTGCTTATTTAATTTCTAATCGGCGTATCCAAGTCACTGTGAACACCGCATTTAAGTACTCTGTAACTCAGCTTCCAGGAGCTGGTGGTCTTGCAATAAATACAGGCAAAGCTATTACAATATAACGTGCATACAAATGTTTATACAAATAAGGACACTATGCAACAAATTATCTCATAGTAATATGGCATTAACAGTATAAACATACAAAAGGGAGTACGAACACGGAATGTTGAAACGCAGCCCACTAATCCTTTCTAGTACTCACATTCATACTACTTTTTAAAAAATAAGACTTGCTAGCTCTCCAAAATTGTCTCTTTAACTGAAAACAAAAATTAACTTATATATATTAAAAAAATCTTATTACCCCTGGTGTTTACCCTGTATGATCCAGTTCCTATTTTTTTTGCACGTTCTTATCTAGGGATCAAACACTTGAGACTCACTGAATGCTCCTGGGCTTCTGAATCAATGTGTCAGTCAGTTGCTGTAACTGAAGGAAGTTTAGGGAACTCTGGATGGGTTGATAGAACACAACCAAAGCAGTTGTATGTAATCCATTTTATAATCTGAGCCCCAGGGCAGGGATCTGGATCCATTAAGAATGGCCTGAATCTTGGATGGATCGTACCTCAGAAGGGTTCTATAGGGCAGGCGGACAAAGCCTCTGCTAGGAAATTAGCACTTGGCATTTGCTAACTTGACTGCCTCTTTCTTATTTCTGTATAAAATAAAGGAGAGTTAATAAACAAGACTTAGTAAGACAGCACTTTAAAAATTGCACTTGTATATGGAAGCGAACAGCCATTATAATTTTGCTATGTCTGATTTATAGGTTATCCTCCATCTTTTACCATTTGTTAAAATAAAGGAAGAAAGAAATTAAGACGAGGGAATTTCTGCCTTGTTTGCACCACATACATACCCTTAATACAGGAAGTATATTCTAAAGCGATCATCTCAAGACAGGTCCTACCCTGGCGAACAACCCTTGGCTGTTCTTGTTTTTAAATACAAAGCAACTATAATTGTATTCCCAAGAAACAGTTTTAAAACAGTTATATTATCCTTTTTTTTTTTCCTGCTGGAATAGCATCATCCAAAAGTGCTTTGTTAGCAATTTCTTAGAAAACCCTCATGAATTATAACCCCCTCCCATCCCAACCCTAAAGCCTAAATATAAAACACAACCCCAACACAATACTCTGCAAGTTTTCTGGCTTTAGGTTGTAAGGAAAAGTGCCAGAAAAAAAAGTCTTTCTTTTTGTCAGGAGCTGCTCTTTCTCTTAAGGAAGGACAGGAATGGGTGTCCAGACCCCTCCCTCTGCTGCTTAGCAAGCAGGTGCTAGTGGATGCGGCAGCTCCCTGATCAGGCTGCTTCTACTCAGAAAGGCAGAGTGTCCAGGAAGAGCTTGTCGATGATGGAAGGTGGAGACACCAAGTCTTCCAGCTTCAGGTAGAAGATGCGCTGGAGGCCCAGGGTGCAGATCTTTCGAAGTTCTACCAGGGCACCCAGGACCTTGGGCTCGGTGGGCTCCAAAGCCTGTCCCTTACTCTGGTGGTCTTTTAAGCTGCTTGTGATCTTGTTGCATAGCTCCTCCACTCTCTTTGGTTCTTTTAACCCATGTCGTTCTGCAGAGGCATAGAAAAGGGCAAGTTTAGGAGGCAGTCCCATCTTAAGAAACTTTGAATCACTAATTGAATCCCGTTCTGCCAGTTGGGATGGCATTTTATAATCAAAGGGCCCTCCCTCTTTGTGGTAGTTTGTGCCCACTGGTATCAAACAACATCAGGGTTTGAATCCCAGTCTGTCACTCACTGTGTGCTCTTGAGTAAGTCCATTAACCTCTCAGCCCTGGTTTCCTTATAGAATGAAGATAATAACATACCCAACTCAGGGTTTCTGGGAAGATGTGAATAATGCAGATGAAGCACACAGTTTCCCGCATGTAGCCACACTGAATGAATGACAGGATGGGTATTATTTTGCACACCTTATCCTACGGAGGTCTTACAAAAGCCCTGTTCGGAGGCAACTCATTTTCAGAGTGATCCAGAATGACATCTAGGCACATGAAAGAATGTTCTCATTTTGACAGAGTTGGGGAGGCTATAAGTTCTATTGGCTATCGCCAAGAGCTTCCCCGCAAGACCCAAAACCAAAGTGCACTCTTGTGTTTTCATGCTAAGAAGCATTAAAAAAAATCCAATTTTTTTTTTCCTTGTTTTCCCCCTTGAAACACCTATGGACCTGCACCTGGCAGTCTGTACAACATACACATGTCCTTTGCTGTGGAGACGGCAAAGTCAGAGAGGGAGGAGGCCCAGAAGGAGGCAGTGCAGGCATTTTATAAGGTAGCCAGACATGAACACTAGTATCCTATTTTTTATACAACAATATATAAAATTATCCCCATATTAAATTTTATGATCGCTTATTTTATGTATGTAAGGTTAAGTGATTTTTCCCAAAGTCACACAGCGGCTGAACCCAGTCTTCTGAGGCAGATTCTGTCCTCCTGCTCCAGAGCAATGTTACATGTGCCTGTAAATGAGAAAGGAGCCTGACATCCAGGAACAATTACTTGGCTCTCTCGGCATCAGAGTGAAGACCTTGGCCCCAGTTATCTCAGCCAGTTTTCATCTCTCAGTACATTTACATGTAAAATAAAAATTCATGAGAGATGAAAGACCTCCATCCAATGGGAAATCACTTATTAGTTTCTAATTTTCCCCACATTAATGTTTTCAGTTGGGAATATTTTTGTTAAAAAAGTTACTTCCTTAAAGCCAAAAGTCATCAGAAAAATGAAGCAACTCTCCAGACACTTTATTTTTCTTCTCTTGCTCTAAATTTAAGGAGGCCCAGAGACCAGGAGATCTGCATTCTTCCTCAGCTTGGCTAGTGGTTATGACTTGGGTGAGTTTTTCTCTCTCTAGGGCCCATCTTAAAAGGAGGAAGTTCGATTGAATGAACTCTAAGGGCCCTTCCAGCTTTGAGGTGTTATGATTATATTCAAGTCTAACCAGCAGCATCTCAATGGATAGTAATGCATAGATGTCTCATCTCAATGCAACATAACACAGAGAAAAGGGCACTGGACTTGGAGTCAGACTTGAGTTCCAGTTTTGGTTCTATCACTTACTAGTGGTATGACCTCATCTCTCTAGGGCTCAATGTCCTCCTAGGAAACATGGGAATTACAGGATGGTAGATACGTAAGTCTTTGTTGTATTCTTCTTTCCTTTCTATGTGTCTCAAATATTACACAACAAATCAAAAGTGTGATTGTAATAAAACCCACTTCCATAAGTTATTGTGAGGCTCCACTAAGATGATGCTACATGAAAGCGTTGTGTCAACTGGAGAGTTTTACACGCATGGTACAGTCAGCACCTAAGACAATGCCTGACACATGGAAGATGGCAGAGTAAAAAAAAAGTAATAATGTCCCCTAATTTCCAAGCTTTATAGTGTATAAAATGTTGCTTTCTCCAGGAAACTAGCTAGTCAGTCCAGATGCAGATCTGTCCCCTCTGGTTTACCTTCACTCCGTACATGCACTCAAGAGGGAACTTCAAGAGTAATCCAGCCTGCAATAGTGTTCTGCCTAAAAGTTTTATTTGCGCCACCCCCCCCCCCCCCAGCAGAAAATAAAACAACAACAAAAACCAGAGTGCAAATTTGGCAGTATATTTCAAGAGCTGTAAAATGTTCATTGCCTCTGACCAAGTAATCCCACTCACGGGAATTGATCTGAAGAAAAAAATTCAACAGAAGAATAAAATTGCACGTATGAAGACATTTTGGATAGCATTATCTATTTTAAAAACTGAGAAAAAGATAAAGGGTGGTAGAGGAACTGTTAAGTAAAACATATTTCGTCCACGTAATGGAAGATTCTGTGGACATCAGAAAGGACAAATACTAAGGCTATGAAGCAACAAGGGAAAATAATAACAGCACATTAAATAGAAAATAGAACATAAAATGGCATCTAAGCTGTGATTACATCCATGTCAAATTATTTCTGCATATAGAGAAGGATGAGAGAAAACAGAAAAGTGAAAATATTTACGAGATTTTCAGATAACTCCTTTTTTTAAAATTTCCAGGCTAATGCTATTTGTATAATAAACAATGTTAAAACAGAACAAATGGAGATTTGATCCTTTGTAAAGCCCTCTAGTAGCTGCAACATGATCACACAATCATTTTGCTAATAGTACATTCTATTAATACTGATATATATCAAATTAGGTTCCTAACCCAGGGAGAGATGCTTCACCCGGAATAAAATACCAATCCATTGATTCAAGCTTTCCCTTTCTTTCGGTGCCTGATGTCTTGAATTATAGTCAAGATCCCATATTCATTATCAGAAGAAAGAAACTGAGCAATGTTGTTGGCTGGATTTCGGGAGGGGGTTGATTATGGAGCCTTGTAACCAGACTTTCTCAGGGCCAAACTCACAAAAGGTGCCTCGGAGTTTTCTCTGCTCTCCAACCAGTTGTGACTGCTCAATAACTATGGCAACCATTATTTATTCAGTGAATTCAAGTGGAGATCGATACCTCCTGCCAGCTGGATCAACCCTAGGCCTGGAATTCCTTGAGGAATTCAGAGACACTCCCATTAGAAGCCAAAGGCACCTTCTTTGTTGTTTTGAACAGCTACTGGATTTGTGGCTTCTTTACTTTTTCAAAGGGGCTGAGATAAAATTCAGTCTCCATGCAAACTATTGCCAGCAGCCAGCAAGGTTTTCAAATCACCAGGGAGTCACTAAGTGTCTAGGAGCTTCCTAGTAATTTGAAATTCCTCAAAACCCCAATTGCTGACATTTTAGTTTAAGGGACCCCCTTTCTTCTTGCAGCTTGGTAAACATGGGGGCAGAGCTGATAATCAGAGTTCACAAGTTCTGGAGGAAATCAGATGTTTGAATTTCCTCCTTCCTAGAGAATTATATACAGATTTTAGTTTAAGATCTTTGTCCACCGTTAAACAAAACAAGCGTCTCAGTATTTCTTGCATTGTGATCTACATCATTCTTATTCAATATTTCAGTATTTTAACTCAGTTTTTATGTACTCAACACTTTAAAATACAACTTCTAGAAATGGTGAAGTAATGAATTTATGTGTCAAACCATAGTGTATATAATTCAGAAAGAATTTGAATCATTTAGTTCAAATTCGCACTTAAGACAAGAATCTCCACTACAAGATACTACATTGAATGCCCAGCACCAGCCGGGAGTTCATTATTTCACCTGGAAAAAAAATACAGGGGTGAACAAAAGTAGGTTTACAGTTGTTTGAATGGAAAATAATGCAATAATTAATAAACAATAATTCAAGAATAACCTCTGTGTTTCACATATTCACAACCATAGACCTAGTTTTGTCTACCCCTGTATATTTAAAAGCACTTTCTACTACATTTTTACCTAGATTATTTTACCACATCCTCGCAATGACTCTTTGAATTAGGCAGGACAAAGATGATTATTATTTTATCCACAAGGTAAGGCTGAGTTAAGTGACTTGTCCACGGTCAAAATTAACAAGTGGTTAATTTCTTTCACTCCAAGTCCAGAAATATTTCTATTATACCAGTCTGCCTTGGACATTATGTTAGAATGTCCCTCCTCATTCTGAGGTGACCTTAGCCTCCCTATACCTTCCTCTTACACTTTGTGTATCTAGTTAACTAATTGATTAATTACTTCTTTCAACAAATATTTATTGAGTACCTATTTATAGCCACTGAGGTTAGAGCAATGAACAAAACAGACAACAGATCACACTGCTAACCTGTGTGGTGTTAGTATTTAAAGACACTGTGGGACTCCTGTGCATTTAGCTATCAATGCCATAAACATTTCCACTAAGAGAGAGAGGAAGGGAGGCAGGGAAGAGGTGGACATGGGGGAGAGGGAAGAAATGAGAGAGAATGAGGGGAAAGAGAGGGAGGGGAAAGATATATTGAAATAATAGAGCTATTTAGGTCTGTGCTCATGTTTTTCCATCTTCACCTAGTTAAAATCTATACATTCTTAAACCACAGATCAAATATTTCTTTTTTATCATCCTCACCCGAGGACATGTTTCCATTTTTTTGTTCAGGTAGAGTTGGAGGGAGAGAGAAGAAGAGAGAGAGGGAGAAACATCGATGTGAAATGGACACATCGAGTGGCTGCCACCCGCAGCCACCAACCAGGGCCGGGGACAAACTGCAACCGAGGTACATGCCCTTAGCAGGAACTGAACCCGGGTCTCTCTGGACCGCAGGCCAATGCTCTAACCTCTGAGCCAAACCGGCCAGGGCCAGATCAAATATTTCTTTAAGGAAGTTTTTCCCTTTACTCCCAGTCTAGATTATTTTTTTTCTGAAGGATATGCAGGTCAAAATCAGATATTTATATGACTATTGTCTGCTTCTTCCTTTAAATGTAAGCTCCATGGGGGCACGGACTGTATTTGCTCACTGTTGTATCTCCAGCACCAAGCTCACCACATAGGAGACACCAGAAGCAGAGCCCAGGACCCACCGTGGATTGTCTCATGCTCACTCCAGGACATATAGTCATCGAGTACAATAGCCTGCACTCTTTTTTCTCTTCTTGCTGTTGAGATTACATAGGTGATTGAACAAATGTTCAATGTAATTCCACTGTACCCACTCTTCCCCGAAATGTGCTGAAGTGTTCCCCTGCCATGACCTTGCTATGCTGTTTCCTTGATTTGCAATGTCCTTCCTCTATATCTCGCCATGTCTAGATACCACCGCTTGGGAAACTATTCATGACCAGCACCTCCATCTCTCTACACCCCCAAAAGTTAGCAGCACTCTAGACTTCCCCTGCACTGAATCTGTCCCTTTTAAGGACCTGACCACTAACCACCATAATTGAGTTCGTTGCATCATAATCAGATATGACTTCCTCGTAGCCTATATACTTTCTGACAGCAGAATTCATGCATGGTTCATCTGTGCATCCCCAGAGACTGACACTCTGCCTGAAATACAGACAGCCCTCAACAGTGGTTTAATGAATGGATACTTATAAACCAGTAATTCCATGCAAACCTTCCATTTGGGGAGCTTCTTGCTTATTAATCATAATGAACCACAACTAGATATCACCTCGCTGCTGCCCCCTCAGAAGCAAAGCATTTTCATTAGTCCTGTGACAGGGAAGTGGCACTGGTAAAAAGGAATGGTTAGGGTAGATGAACTGGGGACCCAAAAACATTTAACACCACAACTATGGGGAACTCCCTTTTACTGTAGAGAAGAGTGATCTGAAAGAAACCATTTCCTGCCCCACCTCACCACCCAGTTTTTCACATAGAGAGAGGTGGAGGAGGAGGAGGAGAATGAGGAGGAGGAAGAGGAAGAAGAAGAGAAGGAGGAGGAGGAGGAGGAGGAGGAGTAGGAAGAAGAAGAAGAAGAAGAAGAAGAAGAAGAAGAAGAAGAAGAAGAAGAAGAAGAAGAAGAAGAAGAAGAGAGCCATGTTTGTGCAAACTACCAGTACTGTCCAGATTTTTAATTTTCCTGGAAGCAAGACTGTTAGACTTCCAAGACCCTGTTTCTTTTTATGAGTTCTCTGTGGTTTAGGAACAGACAATTTGGGTTGTCTGTTTTCTGATGCCAATAGCCTAACTGGTATTCCACAATCACCCTTGGGGATCAATGGAGCTTTTTCAGAAGTCAAGATTTCACAGGGGCCCATATTCAAATGAAAATTAATATCCACAACAATGTGCACTTCTGTTTCCCAGGCATTACCTTTCCTGCCACTTCCTGATACAGTCACACATTTCAGCCCCCTCCCATCCAGCAAATCACAGAAAGAGTACTGTCAGGTCCTCAAATGAGAGAAGAGGGGCTTGTGCATGTTGTAACCGCAGCACCTAAACAGCCCTCTCTGAGCAGGCTGGCAGGACTGAGGGCAGGAACTGGAACTCCACCATAAAAGACTTGGCCCATTTTAAGTGCAGCCTAATTCCTTTAATAACTGTCCTTTGAGCCTCTCTTCAACACCCAAGGAGAAATCCAGCAAACATACTGTCTTTTAAAGCCACCACCTGTTTCTTCACCTCAGAGACACTGATTTTGGACTCCCTGGGGTTCTCAAGGAAAGGGGCAGGTATGTACCTAATTTGAGGGCATCCCTGTCACCATCCCTCCAGGATGGAACATGGGTGGATCAAGTACCTATTCTGATCTCAGTCTGACTGCATCACTAACCTAATTTTATGTAATCCTTACTGCCACCTCATGGAATAGATGTTGTTATCCCCATTTTACAGATGGGGAAACTGAGGTTCAGAAAAATAAAATGCATTACTCAATGGTACCTACTTATTAAATATGGGACTCCAGATTAAAACCTGGGGGAGGTGCCGGATTCCAAAGTCCATGCTATTTCTGCCATGCAAAACTGCCTCCTTCCTGAGCAAATCTTCACATCATGGGCAGCGGGTTGAGCAGCCATAACCACAGGACATAGCAAATTGCAGGCAGAGACAGGATTGGCACCACCTTCTCCTAATCCCTACTCTATATCCTCAAATAAACTGTCCAGTTTCTCCAGGTTGGGATTGCCTGGCCTCATAGTTCTCTATTAATATTTACTTAAAGAGTAAAACAAACAAAAAAAGGACATAGACCTCAGGCCCTCCTCTTAAACTAACGCTCTCATACCTGGACTGGCCTTTTCCCTCTGAGTCTCTTTTCTGCTACAATTAGTCCTCAAAACCAGCTGCAAGGGTAGATCTTTCTAAAATGCAAGCTTCGCCAGGATGCTCCTCTGGTCAAAACTTTCTGTGGTTCCCTACTGCTCTCAAAATAAACTCCAACCTTCTCACTTAGGTTATGAAAGGTTCTTCATGTCCTACCCCACCCTTACCTATCATAGCAGTCTCATTTCCCACCACTCTACTCTTCTTAGACATTTCCTTCCTGAAACTTATAACAGCCATATTTTCAGCGGCTTTAGCAAATTTGTATTTGTGCCTAGAAATCGGACTCCTTCCATTTTAGCTTGACAACATTGTATCCTCTTTTGAGAAGACCAGCCCCCACCTTTGGTCTCTGAGCACTTTGTACCCACTCCCACACCCCACCAAGACTCTCAACACCCAGTATCGCATGTATCATCTCTGAAAACCCAATGACATGCCAGAGCCTATAGATTAGTGAACACTTGTTGGTTAACTATAGAGATGTGGCCATGTACTGGGTTTATTTACAGAAAGCCAAGGCTGGCTCTAGATTTTGTTTCTGTTTTTTTTTTTTAATTAACTAAACTCCACACTCTCTATTTTGAATGTTTGACTGTCCTAGGCAGAGCTGAATGGTTTTGAACTAGAGCTGAAGAGCTTTAGCTGAAAAGCAGCCTTTGAACCCGTTTCATGACAGTCCTACTGGAGTAATATGCTTGTGCCTTAAAAGTGCTTATTTTCTCTGGGTACTCCTGTTTGCCCTTTGAAAGTTCTTTAAATCGAATTCATACCCTTAAAGATTGCCCTTATTTTTGTTTCCTTAAGGGCTTCCTTGGAAGTCTCTGGCAGCTCCCATCAAAAGAAAGGAGCTTCTCAGCCAGCACCAAAGACCCGGAGGACGTGAGGTTCCACTTAGAATACCGAGGGAACAAGCTAGTGTCTGATTCCTACTGCTGCACATGCCATTTAATTCTCTTTGCCTCCATGTACATCATTAGATGATGAACCAGCCTAGCCTCTCAAGGTGCTCAGACATATCTCATGTTAGCTAATAGAAAAGGCCCCAAAAAGGTGCATGGGAACCATGCTCATCCCTGGTGATCAGAAAGAAGGGCCCATCTGTGCCAAAGGACGAATTTGGTCCTTTTGGAAATTCATCACCTGCCTGAAAAACACGTTTCCTACAGTCAAGAGAATGTCAAATCTGAACCTCAGTTCTTAGGCTGTGCTTCAGTCTGATGAAAGGAATGTGAGGTGAGCCCCAGGACTGGCTGGCCTCTTCTGGAGCCTCCACCTGCTGTCACTGCCTCGAGAGGCCCCAGTCTGGCCAAGAAGGATGAGCTCAAACTGGAAACTCTGCAAGTATCAAGGCACAAAGGAAGCTGGGGCCTTGCGCCTGCTGAGCAGCCACAGGGAGATGACGTCTCCTCTCTTATCTGATAGGCTTTCGTATTCTCTCTCTCTCTCTCTCTCTCTCTCTCTCTCTCTCTCTCTCTCCATCTTGGGACCCTTTATCACCCAAAAGATAGAAAGAAAGAGACATCTAGGGACAGGAAGGCATAATATAGAAATTGGATATGTTTTATGCTTCTGTTTCTTAACTTTTAAAAATTTTTACTATTTACAAATATCCATTTCTCTCAGTCCTCTGTCAATCAAAATTGTTAAATAAAGTTGTAAATAAATAAAGGCATGTTTTATATGTGTGTAGTCCTTTGGTTTTATTTTAGGTCAATAGCCACGGACTGGGGAAAGGGAAAGACTTGTCCCCTGCCCCACAGGAACAGACTGGCTAAGGTAATCTTCCGTTGAAACCTCATGTAAAATTAACCTTGAAGCAGCTAGTTCAACTGCCAACAGAGCACCTGTGGAAATTTAGATTTCCATATATTGGGCTTGTTGACAGTGATAACTCAATAGGAATCCTCTTTCCTGGAGGTTCATGACAGTAAGTTGCAGATATACATCTCTTGTTTAAACTAGGTTAAACATTGCTGATTTAAGAAAAGTGACAGCCATTTTTCTAATTTTCTGGTGTGTGTGACAGCCAAAGCCAGAATCCACCTTAACACAGGAAAGGAGAGAAAGGGGGACGTGGTGGCTTTGGGAGACAGCAGGGTGGCGCTTACCTGTGATCATGCTCAGTGCTGACAGGCATGCTAAGGCTTGGATATCAAGGTTCAGGCTCTGCAAACTTAAGGAAAAGTCTTTAATGGAGTCGAGCCACTCCCCAAATCCACGAAGGCACTGAAGTCGGTGCAGGACAAGTCCATTGCAGAACACAAACTTATCTTCAGCAGTGTTTGACCTACAAGAGAGCCATGGGGGAATAGGGGATAGAAACACATTAAACGGGTCTGTTCAGTCTATCCCATGGGATAACATCAGAGCACACAAGCACCCAGGCACCCAGACAGCCATGGGCAGTGTTCAGAACCCATGTGGTGCTGTCCAACCTGCCCAAACACCCTTGATGAACAAGACTGTGCTCCTGGGATAAACAACCACCACCACTTGTCTGTGCTAACTTCCTTGGTGAGCACCTACCCGGGGGGGGGGGGGGGGGGGACTGCTAGACCCTGTTGCAGGCTCACCCTGGGACAGGACACGGAGGAGCAGGCGCTCACACACTATGGAGGTGAAGCGCAGTGCACCGCCTCCCTCGGCAGTGAACCGAGACAGTTCCCTCGTTTCCTTAAATGTCAAACTCTGATAAGGCCTGAGGCGAGACACCGCAGTTCCATTGTGCAGACTAAAAACACCAAGTCCCTGCGAGCCCCAGGAGTCAATCACAAACTGAAGTGTGGCCTAAGATAAAGAGTCCTTATTTTGTGTTACCTTCTCTGCTTTTAACAGTGGGGCTGTGGAGGGCCGTTTCTAAATCTGTCCTGATAGTGTACATTATGTCCATAAGCATGCCAAATTCTGTCACGAAAGGTGCCCTGGCACTTCTAGTTAAACATCACCACTCAGCCATGGGGCCGTGGGTGCTCCTTTCCTCTCTCTGTGGCTCCTTTCCTCATGTATAAAACAGGAGTTCTAATTGCTGCCATCTAAGATTGTTGTGGGAATCAAATAAAATATAGGACCTGAAAGCCCATACACAGTGCGTGGTACACAAGAGGAATACTAGGTGCAATTAATTCTGAATTCTATGTGGTCCTAGCTTCAATGTAAGCCTTCCTTTAATTTTCAAATCTCTTTCCACATGTTTATCTCTTTCAGCCTACTGCACTAATAAGTTAATATCTCTCTAGCTCTTGGATGGATAGCTTCATTCATTCATTCACGTGTCAAGTATTTCCCGAGCACCACACATGGGCCTCTCCTGGAGCCAGGCGCTGGAGAAAACTTGTGAATAGAGCGGACACAGTGCTTGCCCGCATGGAGCTAATCATTTACTTAATCCTTTGCTCAGTGCACCATCTGCCTAACAGATGATAGTCACATATCTGGCTTAGCTTCGGTGTACACCGGATTAGCTGTAATGATGCTAATTACTGGCATTCTCTTGGTAATTCCAGCTCTCTCTCTCCCACAGATCCCTCCACAGAGGTACACAAGGACGGAACGGCTCAGTCTCAGAGTTTAAAACCGGGACATCAGACCACTGGCATCAGAATCACCGAAGCACGAGTTAAAATGCAGATCTCCGAACTTCCTCTAAGATAGTTCCAAACCAAAGGAGCTGCAAATGAGGCATGGGAACCGGCACTTTCAATAAGAATTTCTGCTAACACAGTCTGAAAATGGAGAGGGGGTTAAGGATGAGAATGAGGGGAAAGGAGACTTTTCCCCCTATAATATTTGGTGAGATCTTGGTACCATCTCCTAAAAATACATAACTGCAAGGAAGATTGAATTTAAAATGCTACATGTGGACTTTATGAGACGAGCTGAGATCCCAGGTTGCAGCTTTTGGAAAAAGAACTTCCGCTTTGTGTTTGGTGTCACTGCGTATCACAGGTTAAACCAAATCTTTGGCTCTAGGAGCTATTGTCATGGAGTAAACACTGGGAGTTTAGAGCTGTGGGAGCTCTTTGGAGCCCCATCTGGTGTACTAAAACAGCGACTTGTAAATAGAAACCTGTGAGGTAAATGCAATGTTCAAAACAAATACTTGCTCCCAGGAAATACCTGATGTACCATGGGACTCTTCTAGAATCATAGGATGTTGGCATTACAAGGAGCTTCAGAAATCACCAAATCCAACCTCTCCACTTTACAAAGAAGGAAACTGAACTGATGAGACAAGTGACCTGCTAAGGATCTTACAGCAAATTCGTATTAGAACTGAGGGTACAACCCAGGAGTCCTGGCTTCTAGTCCAATGCACTACCCACTACTGAGTTTTTTTAAATGCCTGATCATATTCTCTATTTCCTTCTTGAGCAACCTTCTCTCTGATGACTCATTTGCAAACACAGCAGGTTTCAAACTTCTTCAAAGGAAGGAGCGAACTGAAGGAAGATAAAATAATAGCAATTACCTGATGGAAAGTCTGAGAACAAACAGCTCCAAAAAGGCTGATTCTATAAGTAATGTCTGATCCTCTTTGGGGAGATCAGTAAATCCGGGAATCTTTTCTGCCCAGCTTCTGGAGACGTCAATGGAGGCTGTCAGAAGGTTGTAGAACTGTTGGACATGCTCAGCATCTGTGCCTGCAGCAGCCTGGTCAGTGGGGCAGAACTGGAAAGCAAACCACAGAGAGCAGCGTTAGCTCAATTCAACGGGCATAACGGCATCATTTGCAAATGGGCTCTTCCAAGAGGGGCTATGCCTGAATCTTTACTGTTAGGTCCCACAGTTTATAAAACCCTTTGGCATTCACAGTCTCATCTGATTCTCACAATGGCCCCCATGATATAGAGTAAGACAAAGGAATTTGCTGAAGTCCTATCAGTGCAGTGGTTTTCAGTCCTGACTGCAATCATCTGGGGAGCTTTAAAAAACACTCATGCCACAGAGATTCTAATTTAACTGGTCTGGGTTGAGGACTGGTCATTGGGACTTTTAAAAGCTCCCCAGGTGATTCCCAAGAGCAGTGTTGAGAACCAATACCTCAGGGGTTTGTGTCCAAGTTAGCCTCTAGCATCTACTGATTCCACTAAAGCACAGTTGTCTCCAAATGAGATGCTTAATTAACCCATGGTTCTCAAAGTGTGGTCCCTGGACCAGCAGCATCAGCAACACAAGGGAATGTACTAGAAAAGAACATCTCAGGTCCTGCCCCAGACCTACAGCATCAGTAGCTCTGAGAGTAGGCCCAATAAACTAGTTTATCAAGATCCCAGGTGATTCTCATGCACACTGAAGTTTGGCAATGACAGAATCAACGAACGGCAGAAGAGAATGATTTTTTTGCTTGCTGTAGATAGATTTCTGTGGGACAAAACAAACCAGGAAGAGGAGCGGGAAGAGTGTCCCCTGGGCAGGGCCCAGGCAACTGTGTGCCATCAGAGTCAGGACTTGCAGCTACTTAAATTCATGAAAATTAAAATAAAAATTCAGTTCCTCAGTCACACTAGCCGTATTTCAAGCTCAATAGACACATGTGGTATAGAACGCTTCCATCACTGCAGAATATCCTATTGAACAGCATTGATCTGGAGGGTCCCAGGAGAAGAAAGATACAAATAGGAATAAAGTCTCTACCCAGCTTTTGGATATTCTGGTAGAGTCAGGGTTCTGCCTGAATCACAGGAAGAAAATCTTTCTTGCTTCAGGCAGAAAGACTGATAGAGCAAGGTAATAATCAAGGGACAACCAACAGCACAGATTTGCAGAAACACGTAAATACGCACATCATTCCCTTCACACTATTAGCTGCATGTGCTTTTGCATCCCTTCTCTCAGTTAATCCTCCTGGGGTATGGATTTTAATTCTTTTTTTTTTTTTTAAGTCCTCACCCGAGGATACTTTTTTCCATTTATCTTCAGATAGAATGGGAGGGAGGGAGAGAGAGAGAAACATCGATGCGAGAGAGACACATCGACTGGCTGCCTCCTGCATGACCCCAACTGGGGCCCGGGGATGAACCCCAACCGAGGTACGTGCCCTTGACCGAAACTGAACCCGTGACTCTTTGGTCTGAAGGCTGATGCTCTAACCACTGAGCAAAACCGACCAGGGCTGGATTTTAATTCTTATTTTACAAATGAGGAAATGGAGGCTCAGTGAAGCTCAGAGAGGCTAAGAGACTTGCCTGAGTTACACGACCAACAGTGGTATAGCTAAGACTGAAACCCCTCCTGGCTGTTAATATGTCTGATGTTACTAGCTGATAGCCCCTGGTATAGTTTTTAAAAAGCATTTTACTTTGCTCTAAATGGAGGTCTCCAGGTATGTATTCATCTGGTTCCATGTTTTGTCAGCAGCACAGTCACTGTCACATGATTGACTGTCAATAAATAGTTGTTGAATATTGTTCAATGAAAGAAGAGTCAAGGGAGTGCCCACATTTGCCAAGATGCCCCAGCCTGGCTGGAGGAGAATCAGCCAATAAGCAGCCAAGTCCTCACTGTAGAACTACTTAGGTATGAGGAAATGAGGCACTTGTCTTAATTGGGTCTTTAGTTGTTGTTTTCCTTTGTGCTTTCCCAAGAGGCATCAAGAAGTAACAAAAGAAACATTAGACAAGGAGCCAGCTACTTTAATCCAAGATTGGTCCAGGCCCCTAATTTGTGAGACAGTGTAGCTTTACTGTTTACTTTAGTTATCTGGGGTAAATTCCTTCACTTTTCAGAGCTTCAGTTTTCTCCTCTGTAAAACGGGGATAATGCCTTCCTCAACATTTCGTTGTGGTGATTAAATGTGATAATATATGTGAAGGGCCTGACACACAGAACATGTCTCGCTAATAATGACAATGATGATACTAACAACAGTTATGATACTTGAAACTCTCACTGTCCCTCAGCCTCCATATTTATAAAATTAGGGAAGGTTTCTATTTTCAGCCCTGACTTTCTAGGATCCTACAACATCTGGTCCAGTTCAGAGCCTTGGATCCTCTCTTCCCAATCATCCCACCCAGATTCTATGAAGCCCTGGATGTTTCTGCGATGTAATGGACCAACGGAGAAGGAATCAGTCTTCCTTCCTACGGGTAGTCAAGGATGGCAGCCTGACCCTGGTATCAGACACTTCCCACCACCTCCTTTCAGTTCACACACACTGTTATAACTGGAGGACGGTGGGGGAAAAGGGGGTTTTATTTTACTTTCTCCTCTGATATGAATCTAATTCCACGTGCTCTCCAAGGACAGGATGAAAATCAGGGTAGATCCACCTTTAGAAATCTAACAGCACCATACACGTGAAACTCCCAAATGAGTGGTAGTATGGAGTAGAGGCCGCAGATCATGGGGATCCTCCTCTAGGCTCTGGCACTGACTTGCTGTGCAGCCCTAGACAAGTCACTTAACTTTTCTGGGTTTGCTTCTGCCTCTGAAGTAGAAAGTGACTGCACTAGCGGATCCCTAAGATTCCTTCTGGCTCCTACATTCAGATATTTTCCTGTTATTGATTTCTAGTTTAATTCCATTGTGGTTTGACAGTAGACAATGCATGATTTCTATTTTTTTTTTTTTTTTAATTTGTTAAGGTGTGTCCTATGGCCTAGACTATCGGCAATCCTGGTGGATGCTCTATGATGGCTCTTGCATGCAATGATTTTAAATGTCGTTAATCAGCCGGTACGGCTCAGTGGATTGAGTGATGTTCCATGGACTGAGAGGTCCTGATTTGATTCCCAGTCAGAGCACATGCCTGGGTTTCAGGCTCGATCCCCAGTCGAGGGCATACAGGAGGCAGCCGATAGATGTTTCTTTCTCACATAGTTGTTTCTACCTCTCTCTCCAAAAAATAAAAACATTAAATAAATAAATGTTGCTAATCATACCAGGTATGATGTTATTGCCTAGAATGTGACCTTGATTCAGCATTGTTTTGCTTTAAAATAGTTTGTAAAATGGAGAGAAAAAGACTAAAGGATGCAAACATTTTCCTAGGAATGGGACCTAACAGCTCCCTCCTGCACTGACTTCCCTGAAACCATGGCTCACAACTCAATAATCTCTCTGCTTCCAATATTTGCTCACCATCCTCCAGAGCACTTAGCTTTCACCCAGGGTCCTCTGCAGGCCTCCACCCTGCTGGGCTCACATTTCATGCATCCTGCATACAGGGAAATGCATCCCCTGCTTGCCCAGCATGTGCAATTTTCTCTGACAAAGCCCAGCAAGGAGAAAAGCCAGCAGGCCTGGCATGCCAGGCTCCAGCCAGACCCTTTGGGCTTCACCTGCAGTGATTCTAGTCCATGTTCCAGTATTCTGGAGCCAAACTGGACTCAGCCTGAGCCACCAGTAACTTGGGGGTGAATGGAGGGTCAGCATCCAATGCTAAGGGAAAAGACAAACCAAATATCCCCTCTACTGAATGTAAGATTTAAAGAAACATAATGAACCATTTTAGATTCTTTCTTTGCCTGGTCTAGTACTTTATAAAAACCTCACCATGGAATACTGGACCTGGAGTTGGAAGAACCAGACCCCCATCTCTGCTTGTGTGCTCCCCTACATTAGTCTCTCAGGGCTAGGCAGGTTTGGGGTTCACCAAAAATAATCTAGAAATATTTGTTTATTGATCATTCCTATCAAACATAGGCCAAATGGAGAAAGACTTTAGAAATTAATCATTTTCCTGTTTATGCTTTTTATTCTAGTCTATATGGATAATTGATCCATCAAAAATCTTGCTTTACAGTCAAGACACAGTATTACATTTACTGACAGCTAACATCTAATGGTGGTTTCACCAAGGCACCTGGAATAAGCCCATTGTCACATTTCCTATGACAATAATATGGCCATACAGGTCAGATCCGAGGCACAGCCTAGGCCTAAAAAAACTTATTTGAATGGGAATACCAGCCCTAAAAAACAGTCAACAATGTGCCCTGGCTGGTTTGCTAAGTGGTTAGTGCATCCGCCCCCAGACCAGAGAGTCCTGGGTTCAGTTCCCGCTAGGGGTACGTACCTTGGTTGCAATTCGACCCCGGCTCCGTTGGTGTCGAGCGGGTGGCAACCAGTCAATGTGTCTCTCTCATGTCAATGTTTCTCTCTCTCTCTCTTCCTCCCTCTATCCCTCTCGCTCTATCTAATGATAAATGCAAAAATGTCCTCAGATGAAGAAGAAAAAGAAAAAAGAAAAAAAAGTCAGCAATGTGATGCTTTCAATAGCTGCGTGGAATCTGGTATTTACTCTGTCTCACTTGTCAGTCCAGGCTAAACATGTAAAGTATCCTAAGAACATTTTATCTCCCCTTACAATGTTACTTTTCCCGCCCTAGCCGGTTTGGCTCAGTGGTTAGAGCGCCCGCCTGCGGTCCGGAGAGACCCGGGTTTGGTTCCCGCTAAGGGCATGTACCTTGGTTGCAGTTTGTCCCCGGCCCTGGTTGGTCGTGCGGGTGGCAGCCACTCGATGTGTCCCTTTCACGTCGATGTTTCTCTCTCTTTCTCTCTCTTCCTCTCTCTCCCTCCCACTCTGTCTGTACAAAAAATGGAAAAATGTCCTCGGGTGAGGATAAAAAAAAACAAAAACAAACAAAAAAAAAATGTTACTTTTCCCTGGTTCTTTATATATTTTAAATGTGATCATTCTATAAGCCAAACTATATATACATATT